AAGAAAATTATACTTTGAGAAAAGATAAGAAAATATTGTTTCGAGGGGACGAAAAAAAATGCGGTCTTTTAAGAATAAAAGTTTTGACGCTAGTTAATTAGTTGTTCTTTTTTTTTTTTTTTAATTTAAATGTTTGTTTAAATTTCACGCGACAGTAAAAGTCACATTAAGCGTAACGATGGCAATAAAATATCAGAGGAAACAGCGAAAAGAAAGTAAAAATGAGAATTGAATAGGTCATCAGAAAAGATAAGAAATGACTCCTTCGGCGCTCGCTTTGGCTTACTTGAAAATCGCTTAAAGCGTAAAGATAACAAAGGGAGCAATTTTCTTTCCGTTTAAAACTTGCGTGGTTGGTTTTACACTCTGACACATTCCTTATACACCTCGTTAGATTTTATGTTTCTCCTTTTACAGTCTCGCTCGTTAGAATTTTTGCTATTTTACCATTCGTAAAGTCTCTTACGCGAAAATTCTTATATATAATAAAGCAAAAAAAAGCTGTTTTTTTTATTGATTTTCAATGAAAAATAAATGAAAAATAAATAAAAAAAAAGAAAAAAATAAATTAAAAATAAATTATAAAAAACCTCTATAAAAAATATTTAGGAAAATAAATTGTAAAAATTTAATTAGTTAATAAATATTTTACATTAACTAATAGATATTAAATTCATTTTATTAATTCATTAATAAGAATAATTTTACAAGAAAATAATGAAAATTTATTTCGAATATTTTTAGAATCGAACTAAGACAAATTTTCAATAATAATAATTAAATTTTATAGATTTTTAAATAAAATACTTTTTTTAATAATTGAATTGAAGATGATTTTAATTAAATTTTCTGTAAATTTAAACTGCTGTAGTTTTTTTTTATTTTTATAGACAATTCAATTTTAGAGTTTTTTATGGAAACTTTTTTAAATAATTGAATTTTTAAAGAAATATTAAAATTATTAAAAATAATTGAATTTTGGGAGAGTTATAGTTGAAATTTTTTTTAGAAATAATTGAATTTCAAAAAGACTTTGTTAAAGTTTAGATCATTATTAAATTTTATAGAATTTGTAAATAATTTTTGAAGATTTAACTATTCAAAATTTTGAAAATAATTGAACATCAAGGAATTTTTTATTGAAATTTTCTGTTATTTCTGTTACTGAAGAATTTATTAGAAATTACAGAAAAAAATTGAAACTAAAAATTTTTTATTTGAAAAATGCTTTTGGATAATTGAATTTTTGAGGCATATTATAAAAATCATTAAAAATAATTGAATTTCGGAAGAGTTATAGTTGAAATAATTAAATTTCATAAAATTTTAGATGGAAAATTTTAAAGATAATTGAATTTTCGTAGATTTATTCTTCAAAATTTTGAAAATAATTGAATTTCTTGTAAATTTCGATTACAATTTTCGGTGATTTCTATTGCTGAAGAATATATTCAAAAATTATAGAAAAAAATTGAAATTAAAAATTTTTTAATTGAAAAATGCTTTCAGATAATTAAATTTTTGAAGAATATTTATAAAAATCATTGAAAATAATGGAATTCCAGATGTTATAATTGAAATTAAATAAATAATTAAATTTCATATAATTTTAGATGGAAAATTTTATAAATAATTAAATTTTAGGTTTTTAAATTAAAATTTTTGGAAATAATTCAATTTCAAGTAATTTTTAACTGAAATTTTTTGTAATTTTATTTGATTTTTAAAAATTTTTTTAAATTTTTAAATAATTATTGAATTTTACAGAATTTGAAATTGAATAATTGCATTTAAGGTAATTGAATTTGTAATGAATATTATCATTAAAATTATTGACAATAATTAATTTAGAAAAGAATTTTAGTTAAAAATTTGTTGAATAATTAAGATAAACAAGATAAAGAAGACAAAATAAAATAAAAAAGATTTGAAGAAGATTTGCATTGTTTACATTGAAAAAAAAATTTATTTGATTCAAATAATCGGTTATACTTGACAAATATAAATATATTTATTTTCATTAAATAATTATTATTTGAGTCAAATAAAATTATTTATTTCAAATACATAATTTTTTGGTTGAAATACAGTTTAAAAGTAAAAATAAATAAAAATAATAAAATAATAAAAACAATGATAATAAATAATAATAATAATAAAATATTTATATAAAAGTATTTATAGAAATATTATATCAAAAATTATTTGGTTCAAGTAAATATTTATTTAATAATAGTCAAGTAATCGATTATTTGAATAAAATAAATTTTGTTTTTCAGCCTACTATAAAAAGCGTATTTTGTTTAAAAAATTGTTTTTAAAATGTAAAAAAGTTGCATTTTATTAAAATAAGTCAAAAAATGAGTATTTTTGAAAAAAAGTCGAAAAAAATCGAAAAAGTCGTAGGTTGTGTAAAATTTTGCCCGTGTGGACAGAGCCGATCTATGAGCCAATTTTTCAGTTTGCTTTACTGTTTTAGAACGTCCATGACAGTTGCGCGGTTTACCTCTCGGAAAGGCAAGTTCAACGCGGTTTTGTGGAAACGTGAAATTTATCTTTTGGTCTAACAAAATTTACTATCGCTTGTGAAATACATACATACATACATACACAGACACACACATGCGATTCCCTTGAGCACTTATCGAAGTATCAGTTACACTTCGAAAACAACGACGATGTAACCTTTAACATTCCTAGATAACTGATAGGAAACCAATTCCCCCGCGTGTATTTTCTCTCTTAAGGTGAATTTATCCGAACGCCAGCTCTAGGAAAATTAATTATATATATATAACAATATATATTTCATTTCACAACATGTGAGAAATATCAAATTTTTTATATGATAAACTATTTCTTGGCTATAGAAAATATATATTTTTTACTGTGAATTCTTTTTTTTCAAAGTAGTAGTAGTAAAAGTCGATTTTAGTCAGACGGAATACTTTTTTATGGATCATAATAAAAAAAAAACGGCAGTCAAATGAAACTATTTGAAATTGATGAAAAAGTTTTGTGTGAGTAGTAAAAGAGAGTTTTTGTCAGACGTAAATTTTTTTTAGAAATGTTAAGTTTTGTAATCAGTAGTTAGAAGAAGATTTAGTCAGGTGGTGCTTTTCTGAATTTCCCGTAATTTGGGAAAGCAGTAGTAAAAGTCGATTTTAGTCAGACAGGGTAAATTAATGTTAATTAATTTTTTTTTTAAATTAATCTTAATTTTAAAAGTTTACTTTATTCAGAGAAGAGAAATAAAAATACATTTTTTCAACTAAAAATTTTTCAATTAAATTCTATTGGATTTAAAAATTTTTTGCAGCTAGTAGTAAACGTAAGTTTACTACAGACGCAAATTCTTTAAATCTTAGTGAGTTCGTAAGCAGTAGTAAATGTAAGTTTCGGTCAGACATATATTTCATAAATCTCTGTAAAGTAATCAGTATTTAAAAAATGTTATAGTAAACCATAATTATTTTTTTGTTCTAATAATTTTAGAATCAGTAGTAAAAGTAGATTTTAGTCAGACAGAATGCTTTGAAAATTAATTTTACTCAGATTTTAGTAATAAAAATAAATTTTTTTCAAGTAGAAATTTGATGATTAAATTCGATTATTAAAATTTTTACTGTTACATTAGTAGTAAAAGCACGTTTTAGTCAGACATTTATTCCATAAATCTCTGTTAACTTTGTAATCAGTACTTAAAATTGATTTTTGAATTATTTTTTTCTATTTTTGTTATTTTATTTTTATTTTATTTTTTTTCATGTTGAAATGAACAAATATTTGTAATTTTCTAATTAGTAGTTAAGGGAAGGTTTAGGCAGACACAGAGTTTCTAAATTTGAAAATCAGTAGTAAAATTCGGTTTTAGTCAGACGGAATAAAAAATCCACTCTCAATAATAATGATAAAGTTCAGTCGAATGAAACTATTCCGAATTGCTGAAAGTTTGTTATTAGTAGTAAAAGAAAGTTTCAGTCAGACATAAAATTCTCAAAAGTATCCTTATAAGTTTTGAAAGCAGTAGTAAAAGTCAGTTTTAGTCAGACATAACGTTTACAAATCTTTGTAATTTTACAATATCAATTATTAAAGAAATCAATAATTCCTTTTCCGGAGGAAGCAAATTAATTAAAAAAAAATTTCCGAATTGCAGTAAATTAAAAAAACAGTAGTTCTGGTCAATTTTACGTCAGACAAAATTCTTTTTCTTCATTATTATCATGAAAAATTGTCATATTTTTTTTCAACATTAATTTGTTAACAAAAATTAATTAAAATACAAAAATTAATTTTATTACAAAAATTAATTTTATTACAAAAATTGATTTTATTACAAAAATTAACAAAAATACAAAAATTGATTTTATTACAAAAATTAATTAAAATACAAAAATTAATTAAAATACAAAAATTAATTTTATTACAAAAATTAATTAAAATACAAAAATTAATTTTATTACAAAAATTAATTAAAATACAAAAATTAATAATTGATGATTTATATTTTATTTTAAAAATAATTTGTATTATCTTTTGATTTATATTTCTAATTACAAATATTATCTATTATTATTATCTAGATTTGTAACCTTTTATTACTATAATTAAAATTAACGTTAGTTTGCACGTTATTATATATCATATATATGAATGAGAATTCTGCATTTCATATAGACCGAAATGCTTCTCTGTAAAATTTATCATTATCCAATACAAACCAAAATGTCCATTGGGAGATAAATGCTTTTGAACTAATGATAAATATTTTAATACAACATTTAGTATATATATATGTGTGCTTTAGAAACTAAATGATATTATTTAATCAATAAATTTACAAATTTTATACATATATAAACACATATTACAAATCAAAATATAATTTTACAATTTTTTAACACAAAAATTATTTTAAAAAATTATAAAAGCAAAAAAAAAAAAGTAAATTTAATTTAAATAATAGAAACTAATTTTGATTTCTCTTGATTTTATAGTTTCCTTCGGGCTCTGGCTCGGGTGATATCGAACCAATTGAAGGTTCAGGAGAGATTGATTTAGACAACGTCTTCGTGAGTTCCACAACTGCTGAAGTTACTTTGTCACTAAACGTCTCTAATTCTGATGCTTCATCCAATAATAATAATAATAATAATTTGCGATTAAATGTTAATTCTCTCATTGCGTTACTAAGTATTTGCTGCCTTTTACTAAGCGTGCTTATAATTATTATATACGCCTTATTAGCAAAGTATAAGCACTAAAATTAAATTAAGACTGTTTCATATATAATAACAAAGTAGAATGCTAATTAATATTATTATAAACCAGATAATGCAGAAAAGATATTCTCTCTTATACACGAATATAATTAAATGCTAATTAATATTTTTTTTTATGGCTCATATAACAAATGCGGCTTGGAAATAATAGAAGATGAGAAAATAATTGAATGCCTTAAAAAATGAATATATTAACAAATATTAACAATAATGAATTTTCTATTTTTTGGGGTTGAAAATTATAATAAATGCCCAGCGGTGTTTTCATATTGTAGTTTTTGGAAGGGAAAATTTTCCCTCCCAAACTACAAGTTTTAAACAAAGTTGAAATAGAATTACCTCTTTTACATTCAGAATATATATATATGTACAAAAGCATGTTAATTATAATATGGAATATTTTATATACTTATTTCTTCATTCGTGATGAAGGATATATTTTTTATAATAAAAAACTAAATTCATTTATAATAAAAGATAATTTTTATAAAAATTAAAAAAAAGTTAAATATTTACTATACTAAATTTTTCACTAAAATTGTAGAAAAAATTTATTAAATTTTAAAAATTAAAACCCTTTTTTTTTAAATGAAAGAAAAATAATATTTTTTTTTATAATATTAGCGATAAGTTTTTAAAATGAAAATTGTGTGTAGTAAAAAAAAGAAAGTTTATCTGCAATAATGAACGTTAGTCTCATACATATAATATACCGAGTTTTTTTTTTTTTTATTTTTAAATCTCAGAGATATTAAACAGAATTTTACAAGTCTATTTTTTTAAGTACCTTTTGAAACTTTTTTTTTTTTGTTGAATAAACGTACGGGTTATTACTTTTTAAATTTTTAAAACAGGACACGAGAACGTTTATAAACTTTTTTCATAAAGATCCTTTTTTAATTACTGGCACTAAAATTCTAACGATGTATTAAATCAATGTTTAAAGAATTTAAAAACTAGTAAAATTTTAATTTTACAAAATATAGTTAACTCTTTTTTTTCATATTATTTTACTGCCGTTTATCTACATTGCCGGATTTATTATTTTAATTACATAAAATAAATCCTAAAAATTAAATAAAAAAAAAGAAAATAATAATAGTAATAAAAATATTTGTCAATTAAAAATTTTTTTTAAATATAAAAATATTGTTTCCTGGAACAATAGAATGGAAACAAATAAAATAATTATAGAAGCAAGTTTTGAAAGTAAACTTAATATATGCTATTGTTGAAAAATCTTTGGGAGATATATATATATATATATATATTGAAAGGAATCTCAGAACAATAACTTTTGACTTAAATTTATCAATGCAACCTTAGATTTCGTCTCTTAATCTAAATATATAAAGTTATGAGCTTACGTTTTCAACAGAAAATGTTTCAACTTTCTCTAGATGAAAATTGTCGCTTGTACGTTTTCCATTTAATCTTCAAGAAATCTGCTTTTGAAATAATTAACGATTTAATCTCAGGAAGACTTTCACAATAATATACATAGTTTCTTCTCTCTCCCTCTCTTTCTCTCTCTCTCTCATGAAATTGCTAAAGAAAATCAGGAACTCGTTAAATTTTACCAGTAACATGAACGTCGTCTTCTTTAGTTCAAAAAAAAAGACATTTCATTAAAATTTTTGTAATTACATGATTCTTCTTTCTTCTAATTACCAAGTCTTTCTCTCTCTCTCTTTTTTTAATGTCATTAATTTTAATGATTATATTTATAGTTTCGTTTCTATTAAAATTTTATTTATATTACTATAAAATATAAATACAAAAAATCTTGGTTAGAAAAAAATTTAGTCGAATTATAATTTATTTTTTTTCAAAAATAAAATTATATAATAATAAAATACTTGGTCTGTCCTTCTGTCCTAACTTGAAGTTGTCCTTTTCTGATTTCACGTGTTTTTTTGAATAGTAATCTTATGACGTGTCAAATTTTGACAATTCTTTTACTCATTTTTGCCAAAGTTGTATAATTGTGTTTCCAAATTTCGGAATAAGTTTCTTTAAAATTCCAAATTCGAAAATTCAATTCACGAAGCTGAAGTACACAACGTTTACCAACGAAATTTTTTTTAAAGTTGTATATTGATTCAAAAATTGTATACAAATACAACAAATTTATGATGAGAAAAAAGATGCGCCAGGAAATTTCGTACAAGATAGTAATTTGAAAAAAATTTATTTTTAAGGTACCAGGGGCCAACGAATACCTATTAAATATTAATTATAAAAACACAGGCCTCGAATCAACTTAAAGACACAAAAAAGTCGTTTTAGTCGATTTATATTCCAAAATAAAGTGGATTTGTTTTTTATTTTAACAAAAATATTTTACAGATTTTTAAATAAAAATTTTTTTTTTAATAATAATCCTTTTCGAAGGGTTAAAGTTGAAATTTTTAGAAATAATTAAATTTCAAAAGATATTGTTAATTTTCAAACAATTATTAAATTTTACAGAACTAAAAATAATTTATCAAACAATTGTTGGAAAACATTTTTTAAATTTAATTGAATTTTCAAAGATTTAAAATTGAGATTTTTGAAATTAATTGAAACTTTAAGTGATTTTTAATTAAAATTTTAGATGATTTCACTAAAAATTTATTAGAAAATGCGGATAAAATACAATAATTTGAAAATCATTTTTAATTGAAAAATGGTTTCAGATAGTTGAATTTTCAAAGAATATTTATTTATTTATTTACATACGGGTCTTTAAAATAAAGAACCCTTTAGAAAAGGGTTAAGGGAAAAGGGAACTATTAAAATAGTTAAAAATAATTGAATTTCCTTAGAGTTATAATATTGAAATTATTAAATTTCAAAAAAAAAATTTTCGATGGAAAATTTTAGAAATAATTAAATTTTAGATGCTTTTAAATTCAAATTATTGAAAATTCAATTAATTTTGAATTCAAATTTTTGAGAATAATGAAATTTAATTTTGATTTTAAATTTGGGAAATAATTGAATTTCAGTTTATTTTGAATTGAAAATTTTGGAAAATAATTGAATTTTACTTGAAATTTTGGATAATAATTTAATTTAAGTTCAATTTTGATTGAAAATTTGGGTAATTAATTTTGAATAGAAATTTTAGAAAATAATTGAATTTTATTTCATTTAAAAATGGATACTTGGTAAATAATTAAATTTTAAATTGAAAATTTTTGATAATTATTGAATTTCAATTCATTTTGAATTAAAATTTCTTGTAATAATTGAATTTTAGTTTATTTTGAATTGAAATTTTTGAAAAATAATTCAATTTTATTGTGATATTTTTTTTTAAATTATAAACAATTGTTAAATTTCATAAAAATTTTAATTGAAAAATAATTTTGATATAATTGAATTTGTAATGTATTTCATTAAAATTATTAAAAATAATTAATTTAGTGAAGAATCATTTTAGTTCAAAATTTGTTAAATAATTGAATTGAAGAAGATCTGAAGAAGATCTACATTTTATACTAAAAAAAGGTATTTTATTTACATTTTTTTTCAAATGTAAAAAAAAAATGTCGCATTTTATTAAAATAAGTCGATAAAAGTCGTATTTTTGAAAAAAGTCGGAAAAAGTCGTATAATCCGAGGCCTGTAAACATATAATTTTCATTATTATCATTTAAGGGGGGAACACCAGTTGTAACTTTCGAAAAATCGATTTTTTTTTTTGTGCATTTTCTTAAAGTATACATATTTAGAAATGTGTCTGTAAATTTCAAAGTTGATCCGGTGAAAAATAAATGAGATATACAGAACACTGCAGCGGCGCGTCCCGTGGCTTCATACAAGGTGGCCAGCCATAACTGACCCTAACGACAGATGGCCTTTTCCTATGATTTAGAAACGGCAACCACTGCGGAAGAGTTATTATATGGTCCAGGAATCGATGACTCTTTGTAACTTGGAAACAAAATTTCTTCTGAACAAAAAAAGTAAGTTGAAACTTTGAATGCGTTTTTCTCAAAATGACATTTTCCAAGTCGGTGACCACGATTACTCGAATACCATTAAACCGATTTATTTAAAATTTAGTGTGCTTCATTTACACATATAAGTCTAGTTCGTGATCGAAGGATTTTTTTTTTTATGCAAAACTTTTTTTTATATAGCTGAAAATCGACCGTATTTTTTTAACGAAAATCATACTTTTGACTTTGACAGGTCGCCATTTTGTCAAATTTTTTTTTTTTTTTAAATCCTTCGATCACGAACTAGATAATCTTATAATAAATGTAAATCAATTTCATTTTTTTATTTCAGACGAAGTATACTTGCAGAATGCTGGTCACCGCAATTCGCCTTTTTTCTTAAGACGCCACTTCAATGGCTCATATCTCCAAAAGTTTTTGTTAAAAAAATTTTTTTTTTCTTTTAAATTACAGCTTTTTACATGTACTTTTAACTAATAAATAGTATTCTTTAAAAAGATTCATTGTTCTTTTGGAAAATATTCTTGAAAAAAGCATTATTTTTTGAGTTACAACTGGTGTTCCCCCCTTAATATGTAATAATATTCTAATAAATTAAATTATTATTGATAATATTAATTTTTAATTTCTTTATAACAAACAATTAAATACTCAATTTGGCGCGCTTGCGCGCGTTTAATTTTGCTAGTAAATAAAATAAAATAGTAAAAATAACATAAAAATAAATTCAATGAATAAATAAAATAATAAAAATAAAATAAATAAATTTATTTATTATATTATTTATTATGTAATTTGAATTTAATTGTATAAAATTTAGGGTAAATGTAAAACTAT